AGAGAGCCTGACACAGGCCAATGCCACCCCCCCACCCCTGTGGAGGAGAGAGCCTGAGACATTGACCAACAACACCCCTTCCCCCCCCCCCCCCACCCAAGAGAACCTTCCATTACCATTGCCCCATATACCGCCTTCCCCACCCGATGGGAGAGAAAAGACACTCACATTCACAGCTCCAGACATCCTCGGGAGTGAGAGTCGGGCTCTGCATATATCATCAAGCAGCCCGCAGCCTCTTTCTGATCCCCATGCCGCATGTGTCCCTTCTTCCGTAGGGCAGCGCTGCCCCCCTGAAAAATGCCACCCTAGGCAAATGCCTTGTTTGCCTTGTGGTAAATGCACCCCTGGGTATTAGCACGCCTTGAATATGTTTTTAGGATAAGTTTTAATGTGTATGAACACAATGTTGTGATCATTTTATCCTGAGAACCTGGCCGATGGTACTTTGTATTTAAAAATATTAAGCCCCATTCACAGTAAGCAATTTGAAATCGTGGAGAGAATCTTTGCAATTCTGCCCATAATTATAAATCACAGCAAAACATGCAATGCACCCCAAATGCAATGCAATTCTGCTGCAATTGGCACATGACAAAAATGGGCGCCAATCAAGGCAAAATGCAAGGAAAAGGATAAAGAAAATTGCATTAAGCCTGTCGCCCAGAAAGGAGCAGGAAGGTCTTGTTGGCGCCAAACAATCATAGGGCAGCCCATTGAAGTGAATGACATGCCCTATGCACGACACATGACTCCTTGTGTAAATCATGCTTTAAAAACTGTTGCCACTACATGAGGTCTAGATGGGGCCTTAGGTTGGGGCAAGGAAAATGCCCTGCATTTGCAACTTTTGTTTGGGGTGTCGTTAACATTGAACTGACAACCTTGGTGAACGCAGTGTGGGAAAAGCAACAAATTGCTGGTTTCCCGCACTATGTTCTACTGTGAACCAGGGCTTACGGGCAATCTAGGGCAGCCTCTCTCAACCTTTTTATCACTGGGGTAGCAATGAAAACTTTTTCAGGCATATTGCAGCTTACCAATTCATGATGTGGTAGCTGCATTAGTTTTCTTTTGTTATGCTTTTTTCCTTTATTTTCACCTGGCGATATCACCAGTAAGTCTGTTATTTTCAGCTTTCTTTAACAGACCAAGCTGTCCAGCAAAAGTGAAAGTCAGAGGGATGAGACAGACCATTTGCTCCTGACAGGGGTGCTTACAATGGTCAGATTTTATTTATTAAACCCTTGCCTACAGGGTACTTATACCCCCTTCCTGCCCAGGCCAATGTTTAGCTTTCAGCGCTGTCACACTTTGAATGGCAATTGTGCGGTCATGCAACACTGTACCCATGTGAAATTTTTATAATTTTTTTGAGACAGATAGAGCTTTCTTGGTGGTATTTAATCACCTCAGGGTTTTTTTTTTATTTTTTGCTAAACAAACCAAAAACAACTGAAAATTTTGAAAAAATAAACAGTATACAGTATTTTTCTTAGTTTCTGTCATAACATTTTGTAAATAAGTGATTTTTCTCATTCAGTGATGTGCGCTAATGAGGCTGTAGTGATGGGCACTGATAGGCTGCACTGATGGACACTGATGGGCACTGATAGGTGGCACTGATGGGCACTGATAGGTGGCACTGATGGGCACTGATAGGCGGCACTGATAGGCGGCACTGATGGGCACTGATAGGCGGCACTGATGGGCACTGATAGGCGGCACTGATGGGCAGGCACTGGCAGGTGGCACTGGTGGGCATTGACAGCTGACATTGATGGACACTGACAGGTGGCAGTGATGGGGTTACACTGATCATCAGGGCATACTGATCATCAGTGCCCAGATGATCAGTGTACATGTCCCCTCCGAGGAATGCCGATTACCGGCTCTCCTCTCCTTTCCTCTGTCAGCGTGACAGCTCAAGAGGAGAGAAATGCTGATAACTGGCATTTTCTTATTTACATGCGATCAGTTTTGATTGGATACAGCTGATCACATGACTGAGCCGACGTCTTCGACTCTTTCCACTGATCAGTGATCCGCTGTGTCCGAGGGACGCAGCGCACCACCGATCGCCGCGCTGTATGCCCCCAGAGCCGCGCATGCGTGGTTAGAGTGGGAGGACGTCATTTGACATCTTCCCAGAACTAGAAAACCGCCTTGCGCCCGTCATTTTCTTATATGGCGGATGGGAGGCGGTTAAAGAAAAACCTTTATCCTAAAAGAAAATAAAACCCTATTTGCTGTAACTGCCTAGAAAGTGTTAGCTGGGGATCGGCTTTACTGTTAGTCAAGGTCATTCAAAATTGGTAGTACATCTAACACTACCCTCTCCCCAGATTGACAATGCTGCTGTCCAAAGGTGTCTTTGTTGCTTCTCCATTCAGAGCAGAGACTCTAAAACAGGAAGTGTGTAAGGCCTCAGCTAGGGGATGGTAAAAGCAAGCAGCTGAGCTGTTGTTTTACCACACCTCACCACCCACCTAAACACAGACATGCAGCTGCTCACGGCTGTATCCATGACGTGGTCATGAGGCTTTGCTTTGTGGCTGCAGCATAAATTAAACCCCCTGCGACATTCAGCAGGCAATACTGATGTCAAACGCTACCCATTCAAGTGGATGGGGCCATGCCACAACCGACCTGCAACCGTGTGGAATGATTGTGGTTTGCGGTGTGGTGGTTCAGCCTTTTGAAGGGTTAAACAGGGGTGAGGAGGTGACTTATCACCTCCCAGCCACCTGTGAACCACCCTCTGAAAAGGTATCCGCTACACATCACTTTTCAGGGGGCAGCAAGGGGTACCACACAATTGAACGAGCCCTTATTAATCAGATCACCAGGTAAAAAAATCTCCAATAAAGTAAACTTATGCAGTCACCACATTTAAGGACTTGTAGATGCAATATAAATATTTGTTGTTTTTGAATCTTGTACCAATATATTACATTGATAGTCAGTGGGAAAAATGCCCACTAGGAGTGACCGGGTGACCCCGCCCCCTTATGACATCATCGGCCCAGCATATCCCTGGTCAATGATATCACAAGGGGGTGGGCCCCCCTGGTGAAGTTATCAGGTGGCCCCACCACCTATGTATTTAAGAAGTGTTAGGCAGCGGAGCTGTTAGATGGCGGGAGCTTTCGCCAGGTGCGGATTTTTTTTTTTTTCCGGGTCGGCTGCTGCTGAGTTCATCATGATTTATGTTGGATCTACTTTGGGGGACATTTATTTTTTGTTTCTTAACTGCTTGCAATCAGTCCAATTTAATATGTAACCCTAGGGTCACATCTGTGCAGCGGGTGGTGCCGCTGCGGATCTGCAGGAAAATCTGTACAGCCGCACCACCCGCACAGAGAAGTGCGGACCTGCGGGCGGGTGCCGTTAGTTCTAATGGCACGCCACCTGCACTGGAAAACGCAACTGTACTGGGAACCGAGGTTCCCATACGGGCTGTGTTTTCAGAAGAAGTGCAGGGACTTCTTTTCCTGCGTGTCACGGGCATGGGAGTCCATTCAAATGAATTGGTTCTCGTGCCCGTGCAAAATATATGTAAAAACATTCTACATGGAAATAGCTTGTAAGCATTAAACATGCAGCATACCAAGATGGCCGTTGTTCCGAGAGACGGAGCTGGTGGCATGACGTCATTATGTAGGTTTCATCACAAGCGTTTCGTGCACATGCACGTCTTCAGGGGTACGCCCATTGGCTTTCTAACAAGTAGCCTTCTGGTGAGTGCACAGTGGTATAGATATCTTTAACTTGGCTGTGGATTAGCATCAGGAAATAAACACACAAGCCTGTTACATGGTAAATTAACTCAATGTATTGGTATGGATTAGAATAACTAGTCTGGAGTGCACTCTAAGAGAATGGCATAATCAAAGGTTTCTGTGCAGCAGCTGTAAGGGGACAGTCTTTAATCCTAACTCTTTAGTTGGCTAGCGTTGGGGTCCAGTTGTACTGTTGGGATGAGAATAGTCCCATCTAAGCCAGCAAGGCAGCAATAAGGCTTCTAAATGCAACTACAGTTGTATTTTTCTTTTTTTTTTTAATGGTTGAACTGGATGGACTTTTGTCTTTCTTCAGCCAGACTAACTATGTAACTATGTATGGTCAGATTGTAAAGAGCTCAGTCTCTCTAGCAGCAGAGGGTAGCAGCTCACCAGTCCCAGTGATCAGGGGCGGACTGACCATTTGGAAAGTCGGGCACTGCACGAGGGCCCAGGGTCAGTAGGGGGCCCCATGAGATGCCCCTGGTACCTTTTTCATAGGCTTTTCTTGAGTTTGGGCAAAAGACACAGGGGCCCCATGATCCCCTATTGCCCGGGGCCCCATGATTTGTCAGTCCGCCCCTGCCAGCGATATTGCATCTCTCCATTCATTCACACACAGTTATTAGCTCACTCTCTGCTCTGTGCCCGGGTGACTCTGTCTGTCGGCACCCCCTAACCTAGCACTCCAGATCCTGCTAAGGCCGCCGATATACAGCAGTGGTGAACACTGGACAGTGATGAGCACACTTATGGCAAGAGGATGCTGTTTCCTGTGCAGACTGAGAAATTGCACCTCTTTCCCCCCCTCCTGGCCATCTCCTCTCTGGGGAATACAGTAGTCTGTCCTCAGGACTACAGTACCCAGAGTGCAGTGCTGCCTGACTCTGTCTATTGAACTCTTCCTGCTCAGAAGCTTCCTCCTTTTACTGAAATTGAACATTACTAGACTATTTTCTCTCCATATCCAATGCTGTTCTTTCACAGATTGAGTGAATCAGGAAAATACCCCAATATGGCCAGTAAAAGGAGTTGATGATCATAAGAAATACATATTTATTTACTATGAATTTTATGTTCATCTAGCAGCCATAGCATATTACTAAACCACTCTATTGTTTTATGAAGGAGTAACATTTGGCCTGTAGAGAAAATAGCCTGATAACATTCGATTTAGCTCGCTCAGAATGAATGTACATGCAATGGTCACTTGATAAACTCCCACGGCTTCAACTACCATCTCTATGCTGATGACACGCAAATCTATCTGTCTACCCTTCACCTCACCCCTTCAGTCTCCACCCGCATCGCTAGCCTACTAAGTGACATATTGGCTTGGATGTCACTTCGCTTCCTCAAACTCAACCTTTCCAAAACTGAGTTCCTAGTTTTCCCCCCATCCCGTGCCACCTCCACTGACTTCACCATAAATATCGATAACACTATCATCAGTCCCTCCCCTCATGCCAGCGTTCTAGGAGTAATCCTAGACTCCCATCTGTCCTTCCAGCCCCAGATCCAATTGCTGACAAAATCATGTAGACTTCACCTCTGCAACATCTCCAAGATACGACCGTTCCTAACCCCGGAAACCACTAAGCAACTCATTCACTCCCTTGTCATATCACGCCTCGACTATTGCAGCTCCCTCCTCATTGGCCGACCTCATTGCAGGCTATCCCCCCTTCAGTCTATCATAAATGCTGCTGCCAGATTCATCCACATTACTAACCGTTCTGTATCCGCCACCCCTCTCTGCCAATCCCTCCACTGGCCTCCACTCAGTGTTCTCAACTCTCTCTGCCAATCCCTCCACTGGCTTCCCATTCAGTGTCCTCCACCCCTCTCTGCCAATCCCTCCACTGGCTTCCCAATCAGTGTCCTCCACCCCTCTCTGCCAATCCCTCCACTGGCTTCCCAATCAGTGTCCTCCACCCTTCTCTGCCAATCCCTCCACTGGCCTCCACTCAGTGTCCTCCACCCCTCTCTGCCAATCCCTCCACTGGCCTCCACTCAGTGTGTCCTCCACCCCTCTCTGCCAATCCCTCCACTGGCTCCCAGTTGCCCAACGGATAAAATTCAAAACACTAACAATGACATATAAAGCCATCCACAACACTGCCCCAATTTACATATCCGATCTTATCTCTAAATATCACCCAAACCTTCCTCTCCGCTCCTCGCAAGACCCCCTACTCTCTAGCTCTGTTATCTCCTCCTCCCATGCTCGTCTCCAAGACTTCTCCAGGGCGTCATCCATCCTCTGGAACTCCCTACCTCAATCTATCAGACTATCACCTACTCTACTTACCTTTAGGCGATCACTGAAAACCTATCTCTTCAGGGAAGCCTATCCTGCCCTCTGCTAATACTGGAATCCTCTACTCTTCCAACCACTCCATTCCCCACAGTTTGTACCTATTGTACCATTCACCCCTCCCTCCTAGATTGTAAGCTCCAAGGATCAGGGCCCTCAATTCCCTCTTGTATTGAACTGTATTGCTACTGTATTGTCTCCCACTATAATGTAAAGCGCTGAGCAAACTCTTGGCGCTATATAAATCCTGTATAATAATAATAATAATAAATTTCACATGATGAATAGCTTTTCAAGCTGTTTACCAATACGCTTCTTAGTGTGTTTTGCTATAGCATGACTAAAAGATTTTTTAAAAAGTGCTTTGGCATGTGAGTTTGGATGTTGCTGGCTTACTTAAGTTTCAATTAAAGCTGTGGAATTCTTCTGTTAAAAAAAGATAAGACCTTAAAATAGTATAGAAACTTATAAAGGTGTAATGTTGTACAATCCTACTGTAGATATTTCATTTTCCGGGACTGTAAAATAATGATAAGGCACATTTGTAGATAAGCCACATCATCAATCGTACGTGCTGTGTGTGATGGCGAGCAGAATTAGTGATGCTTCCAAGATCAGTTTCTCTCTCATACTGTACACTTACTGTAATTTGCCATCAAATGACATTTAATTGCCGACTTCTTTAAAAAACAAAAAAACAAAATAGCACACAGATCCATTCAAGAGACTGCTATGTATTTTGGAGGACCTTTGGAATAGTCTGTGTGTTTAAGAAGCTGGCAATGAAATGTCATTTAATGACAATTTAGGGCTCATGTACACGGGGCGTTTGGAAAACTCTTCTGAACGATGGAAATTGACTGCTGGAAAACGTAGGTTAAAAAAACGCCAGTTTAGCCGCGTTTGCATACCGCGTTTATGCGCGTTTACATTCAGAAGCGTTTTTAAAAGGTAACCTCAGGAGACCTTTCCAAATGCCCAGAATGCACTAAAAAATGGTAAATAATTAACTGTTTCAGACATTTTGTAGAGAGAGCAGAAGCAGAGAGAGCAGTATGTGTGGAGATGACCTGTCTTTTCTGGTTGTATTCACTATGGATCCCATCATGAGCATAATGCGGCACGTTCTACCATTCTTTCCTTCACGCGAAACCTGGAACTGACTGCACTGGTGTACCGGTCCATTTGAATACATGGAAAACGCTTTGCATGCATTTATGATGATGAAAAAAAGTCTCTGGACAGCATCTGGATATGGAACAGTTAAAAAACGCTTCTAAATGCAAACACTTATAAATGCAGTTAACCACGTTTACACGTGTTTACAAGCATTTGGCGTTTGAAACGCCAGTAAAATCTACTCCTGAACGCAAGTTTGGTGCGTTCAAAAAAACGACTGTAAACTCAACTGCCTGTAAATGATGATGTGTACATGGACACATAGGAAAACATTAGGGAGAGTTCAGGGGCTGCTGAAAAAAATGCTGAACAGCTCCTGAACGTCAGTTTAGCAGCTGCAGTGTACATGAGCCCTTAAAATGTGTTACTTTTTCTTTGTAAATGTCACTTTTGCTGTAGTTCATCATACAGCAAGTATGAAAAAAAAAAAAATATCCCCCCCCCCAAAAAAAAATATTTGAAGAATTCAGGGCCTGCCCACCACAAGAAGAAAGAACAGAGGACCTGTAACATCTAATGACCAAATCGTAGTATTTATTTAAGGATGAACTACAGTTGTATTCTTTTCTTTTTAACCACTAGGTTTTATCCCCTTCATGACCAGGCCATTTTTTGCTGTTCAGCACTGAGCTACTTTAACTGGCAATTGCTCAGTCATGCAAAACTGTACTCAAATGAAATCTATATCTATATATAGATTTTTTTTTCATAGTTTTTATTGAGTTCAAAAGCATAAAACAAGTGCAAACAGTAGGCGCAATAGCACAAAGTACAGAAAAAAAAAGCAACCATTGACATAAAGTAGGTATGGCAATACCAAAAACAGGCATATCAAGGAACAAGGAGTGCTTCGTATACAAAATAAAAAGAAAAGGAAGGGAGTAGCTACCAGCGCAGCCTAGGTCAAGGGTCTGGTAATGGAGCAGAAGCAGCTGTAGAACCAGCTCGATAGCATCTGAAAAAGAAGCCATCCAGTTATGTTTCCACATGTTTACACGCAAGGAAAATGGCCCAACCAAAAACTGACAGTCGTGAAAAAAAAGAAGTAAAAACGGTTGGAGAAAGGAGAAGTTAGAAGACAAAGTAGTAAAAAAAAGGGAAAAGAGGGAGAAGGAAGAAGGGAGAGAGAGAAAGAAAGAAGAAAAAAAGTTCCAACCCCCACAGCCCCCCCCCCCCCCCCCCCCCCCAACCCCAACCAGCCTGCACAGAGAACACCTGAGTACATCTCCCCAAAGTAAGAGAGGTATACATAATTCAGCCCCTGTATGAAGGCCATCTAGTGTACATAATGTTTGTAACGCTCCGTAGTTTTAAAATGAAACCAACAGGACCAAACAGTTGTGAACTTGTGTATCCAGTCAAGGAAAATGGAGATCAAGTCCTCCACAGGGGCGGACTGACCATTTAGAAACTCGGGCACTGCCCGAGGGCCCAGGGTCAGTAGGGGGCCCCATGAGATGCCCCTGGTACCTTTTTCATAGGCTTTTTTGAGTTTGGGCAAGGACACAGGGGCCCCATGATCCCCTATTGAGGGCCCAGGGTCAGTAGGGGGCCCCATGAGATGCCCCTGGTACCTTTTTCATAGGCTTTTTTGAGTTTGGGCAAGGACACAAGGGCCCCATGATCCCCTATTGCCCGGGGGCCCATGAATTGTCAGTCTGCCCCTGGTCCTCCATTTCTTCTATATTATATTAATTCTGAAGAACCATTGTTTGATTGAAGGTACCTGTGCAGTTTGCCAGTGGACAGGTATACAGAGCCTGGCCGCGTTGACCAGACACATAGCGAGAGACTTCCCATATTGTTTTTTTGAGTGAGGTGTGATGCAGTAAATATTGTTCAGGAGTAAAATCCAGTGTGTTCGTGGTGACCAACTCAATTATCTTGTGAACCTTTTGCCAAAAAGGACAATGCTGGTTGGAAGCCCACCAAATGTGGAGCATCGTGCCCACTTTTCTGCCACACCTCCAGCAGGTATTTGGGACATCGGGAGCAAATTTATGCAGAAGAGCCGGGACTCTATACCAGCGGGTACGCATTTTAAAACTATTCTCCTCGATAGCAACATTGAGAGACCCTTTATGGTAGTATTCATCTATCACAGACCAATCTTCGTCAGAAAGGGTACAAGCAAGTTCTTTCTCCCAAGCGTGCCTGGGATAAGGGAGCAGATTGAAGCAATAAAGAGTAAATTGTGGACACTAAGGGGTTTATTTACTAAAGCTGGAGAGTCCAAAATCAGACTCCCTTCTGCATAGAAACCAATCAGCTTCTAACCTCAGCTTGTTCAATGAAGCTTTGGCAATGAAACCTGGAAGCTGATTGGTTTCTATGCAGAAGGGAGTCTGATTTTGGACTCTCCAGCTTTAGTAAATAAACCCCTAAATGTCTCTGGGGGCGTTTTTAAGACATAAGGATTCAAACTGTGTGCAAGATCTGGACCACTGTTCTAGAAGACTCGAATGGGTTAAAACATTTTGAATCTGAAAATATATCCAGAAAGGATGCACAGAAGTAGACAGCTGGTCATGGGAGATGAATCTCTGCCTAACAAAGAAACGATGCGCTTGAATTTCGCCATGTGGCCAAATGGTGGATAAAAATGTGACAGCAATGTCTGGGGGGGAAATCCGGATTCACACGAATCAACGTAAAAAAGAACCAGGGTGTGAAGAGATGTCAGGGATTCTACAATCCCACCGGGCGCCAAGTAAAGTAGGGGCTATAAGCGGGTGGGCAAGAAGACAGGAGAGGGTGCATTTGGGAGGAAGCCATGGGAGTAAACGGAGGGGAGAAGGAGAAAATGAGTTTTCCAATTGAATTCATGCCTTCCCACGTGCATGGGTACACCAGTCTACCACTATCTAGTAAGCAGGCAGGCAAGATAATATTTATGTAGATCAGGGAGCCCAATTCCTTCTTTAAGCTTCAGGAGAATAAGACAAGCAAATTTAAGTCTGGGGGGGGGGGAGTGTTTCCAGAGAAATAAAGTGCAGCATTTCTTGAAAGCATCAAAGAAAGCACATGGAAGAGAGATTGGAATAGCCTGCATCAAGTAGAGAAAGCGTGGGAGAACGTTCATTTTGATAAGCGACAATCGCCCAAACCAAAAAAATATTGAGACAACTCCAGGTCTTAAGTTCCTCCTGAACCCTAGACAATAGCGCATGAAAGTCTCTGTGATATAGTTCAGATAGATCAGAGGGGATCTGTACACACAATATGTGATAGCGTTCCTCCTCCATGAAAATGGAAAGTGTTCTTGGCAGTGAGAAAGTAAAGAGGGAGGAAGTAAAATATTCAACGAGTGAGACTTGGCATAGATAATTTTCAAGTTTGATAAATGCCCAAAGAGTTCCAAGACACTGAGAAGGTTGGGTAGGGAGCTGCAAGGTTCTGTTAAAAAAAGAAGTAGGTCATCAGCAAAGGCCACTACTTTACATTCCTGAGTGCAGACCCCGGATATTCAGGTTAGTTCTGAGTTTATTCAGGAACGGGTCCAGGGTCAGCATAAATATCAAAGGAGAGAGCGGACACCCCTAGCGTGTGCCATTTGTGAAGAGGAAGGCATCA